ACACAGAGAGAGAGAGAGAGAGAGAGAGCAGGGAAGGGGCAGAGAAAGAGGGAGAGATTCCCAAGCGGGCTCCATGCTGACATGGGGCTCGATCTCACAAACTCTGAGATCATGACCTGAGCTGAAACCAAGAGTTGGACCCTTAACCAACTGAGCCACCCAGGCGCCCCTGAAAGTTATAGAGTTTTAATTTATATTTATGCCTAGATCCATCTTGAGTTAACTTTTGTTATTTATTTTTAAATTTTAAAAAATGTTTTATTTATTTTTGAGGGGGAGAGGGACAGAGAGAGGGAGATACAGAATCCAAAGAAGGTCCCAGGCTCGGGGTTGTCAGTACAGAGTCTGATGTGGGACTTGAACTCACAAACCGTGGGATCATGACCTGAGCTGAAGTCGGATGCTTAACCGACTGAGCCACCCAGGTGCTCCTTGAATTAAGTTTTGTATATGATGGGAGGTAAGCATCCAACTTAATTTTTTAAAATATCTAACACATTAAAAACATTAATATGGCTTTGTTTTTTAGAGCAGTTTCAGGTTTATAGAAAAACTGAGGAGAAAGTACAGAGTTCTCCTATATCCCTCCTAACCTCTACCCCCCCCCACTTTCCTCTATTATTAACATATTATAGTGCATTTGTTACAATTCATAAGTCAATATTAGTGCAAGTAGTGGTCGGCTAGGCTGCCGTAACCAAATACCACAGACTGGTTGGTTCCAACAATAGAAAGTAATTTTCTCACAGTTTTTGAGGCTGGAAGTCCAAGATCAAGGTGTTGGCAGGTTTGGTTTCTTCTGAAGCCTCTGTCCTTAGCTTGTAGGTGACCATTTTCTTGCTGTGCCCTCACATGTCTTTCCTGTGTGTGTGCCCATCTCTCTGTGTGTCCACAGTTCCTCTTCTCATAAAGATACCAGTCAAATTGGATGAGAGCTCACTCAAAAGACCTTACTTTTACTTCATTACCTCGTAAAGTCCCTGTCTTTAGATACAGTCACATTCTGAGGTACTTGGGGGCTGGGCTGCAACGTAAGAACTTTGGGGAGACACCGATCAGTCCATAAGAATACATTATTATTAACTAACGCCCACGGTTTACATTAGTGTTCATTCTTTATGTTGTATATTCTGTGGGTTTTGACAAATGCATTAGGGTGTGTCTGCATCCTTGTAGCATCATGCAAAATAGCTTCACTGCCCTAAAAAACCTCATGATGCCCTGTTCATTGCTCCCTCCCCACAGCCTCTTGACAACCACTGATCTTTTCACTGCCTTCATAGTTTTGCCTTTTCCAGAATGTCATATAATTGACATAATGGTATGGTATGTAGACGTTTCAGATTGGCTCTTTTCTCCAAGTAATATGCCTTCTAGCTTCCCCATGTCTTTTTGTGGCTTGATAGCTTATTTCTTTTCGGCACGGAATAATATTGCATTATCTGGATGTGCCATAGTTTATTTATCCATTCGGTTATTGAAGGATATCGGTTGCTTCCAAGCATTATGAATATAGGTGCCATGAACATTCATGTGCAGGTTTTTGGGTGGGCGTAAGTTCTCAACTCCTTCAGATAATACATCAAGGGGCACAACTGAAGGATCATATGGTATGAGTATGTTTGCTTTTGTAAAAACCACCAAGCTGTCATCCGGAGTTGCTGTACCATTTTGCATTCCCACCAACAATGAATGAAAGTTCCTGTTGTTCACATCCTCACCAACGTTTGGTGTGGACAGCGTTTTGGATTTTGGCCATTCTGTTAGGTGTGCAGTGATATCTCATTGTTTTAATTTGTATTTACCTGATGAGATATCATGTGGAGCATCTTTTGATATTCTGCTCTGTCATATGTAATAGCTTTGTTGATGAGGTGTCTATTAAGATCTTTGGCCCACTTTTATTTATTTTTTATTTTTTTAGTGTTTATTTTATTTTTGAGAGTGAGAGACAGAGCATGAACAGGGGAGAGGCAGAGAGAGAGGGAGACACAGAAATCTGAAGCAGGCTCCAGGCTCCAAGCTGTCATCACAGAGCCCAATGTGGGGCTCGAACCCACAGACCACGAGATCATGACCTGAGCTGAAGTCAGATGCTTAACCGAGTGGGCCACCCAGGTGCCCTGACCCACTTTTAAACCAAGTTCTTTATTTTCTTATTGTTGAGTTTTAAAAGTTCTTCATATATTTTGAATAAAGTCTTTTATGAGACAAATGTGCCTTTTGCAAGTATTTTTTCCCAGTTTGTGCCTTGTCTTTCATTCTTTTGACATGGTCTTTCACGCTTCAAAAATTTGAGCAAAAAATTTTAATTTTTTTTTTAAATACGTAAGCTGTTTATTTTTGAGAGAGGGAGAGAGAATGCGAGTGGGAGAGGGGCAGAGTGGGAGACAGAAGATGGAAGCAGGCTCTGTGCTAACACCAGAGAGCCCAATGCAGGGCTCAAACTCACAAACCATGAGGTCATGACCTGAACTGAAATCAAGAGTCAGATGCTTAACCCACTGAGCCACCCTGACGCCCCAGCAAAATTTAATTTTAATGCAATAAAGCTTGCCATTTTTTTCTCCCACGGGTCATGCCTTTTGTGTTTTATGTACAAAATTTATTATAAAACCCAAGGTCATCTGGATATTCTGTTGTGTTATTTTCTTGGAGTTTTATAATTTGCCTTTTATATTTATGCTGTGATTCATTTTACGTTAAAATTTTTGAAGTGTTTAAGGTGTGTGTCTAGATTCTGGTTTTTTTTTTTTTTTCCCATGTGGATATCCAGTTGTCCAGTGTCACGTATTGAGACTGTCCTTTCTCCACTGACTTTACTTTGCTCATTTGTCAAAGGTCAGTTGACTATATTTGTGTGGGTATAATTCTGCTCTCTCTGTTCTGTTCCAGCTTCATCTTCTTCCTTTTGTTTTGTTTTTTTGATCTTGGCTTATTGATATACAATCATACCACCACCATTTGTTGAAAAGACTGTCTTTTCCTCATTGGAAAAGGGTAACATCTTTGAAATTAAAAGTATAAGAATTTATTTCTTGACTCATTTCTGTTCCATTGATATATACATGCCTGTCCTTGCACTGGTATCCCACTGACTTGACTGCCTTGATTTTTTTAAGAAACCTTGAAATTGGGTAGTGTAAAACTTCCAGCTTTGTTCTTCGTTTTCAAAACTGGATTTCTTATTGTAGAGATTTTGCATTTCACGTCAAATTTAGTGTCAGCTTGCCAATGTCCACAAAAATTCCTGCTGGGATTTTGATAGGACTGGTGTTGAACTTATAGAGTAGTTTGGGAAGAACTGCATTTTAACAGTATTGAGTCATCCAATCCATGAACGTGGGATTTCTCCATGTATTTAGCTTTTCTTTAATTTCCCTTAACAACGTGTTGTAGTTTTTCAGTATTCAAGGCTTATGCTTCTTTTGTTAAATATATTCCTAAATATTGGACTCTTTTTTTTAAGGCTATCATGAATGGCATTGTATGTTTATGTAATTTTAATGTTTCTCAGCTTCAGAAAACTACCATTTGAGGAATGTCGTTCTCATCAGTATAAAAGTTGGAAATTGCAGAATTCCAACCCAAGTTTGTACTATCATTTCAGGAACATTGAAGGTGAAATTCAAATACTTTACACTTATCGTATCAAGTGAATTGGGTAGTGTTGATAACTGGTCACAGGTTATTTATTTATTCATTCATTTTGGGCACCAAATCAACTGTTCAGCTCACCATTCTTTTGGATGACAGTTTCTCTGAGGCTCAGCTGGGTGGGATGGGCATGCAGTTACCTGCCCATCAGGTAGGTGGCTCTGCTCTGTGGGGCTGGGTAGATGTTTGCTGGGACCACGAGGTTGCCCAGGACATGTTTCTGTTATGGTGCCAGGCTTGTACAAATTTGTTCTTAGAGTGAGTGGCAGGGATCCGAGAAAGAATAGAGGGGCACTGGACCCCCTGAGGCCAGACCTCATTTTGGATGGGAGGTGCTTCAGAATCACATGTAGAGGGATGTGCATATAGGAAGGGGAATAATTGTGCCCATTTTGTTGCTAACACTCTACTACAGTAGGATGTATCCCTGCAACCCAGTCTGGCTGATTAGAATCAGAGTCGGGTTTTTGTTTAGGAAATTATGCACCTTCTGAATCTTGGTGGGGACAGATACTCTTCTTCCAGTAGGGGCTGAATAGGCTCCACACTTCTTCTCCTGGAGTCTCATGCATCTAGGGTGCAGGCACCTGTATGTCTGGAAGTGAGAAAGGTGATGTACTAGGCTCCATGTCGCGTTGATTTTCCGGTTAGGGTGACAACACAGGTGAACGCGCAAGGCCAAGGCCAAGCTCCTTTTGCAGAAACAGCAACTGTGCTGGCTTTGGCGCTGGTTTCAGTGAAGTTCAGTTCAGGATGGAAAAGTGGGAAGGGCACCGACCGTGGCCCCTCTTGCTCTGCTACAGAAAGGTCACTGGTGTTGTAGGGGAGACGGGACTCAGTCTATTTGGGGTAAATGCACTTTGTCTTAATTGGACACGATGACTGCTTGTTAGAGTTACCGAAACAAGTCCATGCCCTAGAGCTGTGTCGGGTGGGTCTCCCAGCCTGCATTCCCATTTCTGTGCACACATTTCTGTGCACACATTTCTGTGTTCACGGAAAACCTTGATCTCTGGATGCCCCTCATTGGCTTCCAGTGTCCCTGTGAACTCTGCACAGTGCTGGCTGCATCTGAGGGTCCTGGGGACATGAATCACGCATTCACCTGGGTTTGCTTTTCATCTGGGTACAGTAGTCTGGTGGCTGCACTCCCAGTGATCAGTGACACGTGGGCTGCTCCGTTGGCTGGAGAACTGCTCATTTGGGATGATCTGCTATTTTTTTCTTGGTGACATGAGTCCTTCTTCCAGGTGGTACCAATGACCCGGCTGTGCAGGAGTCCCACAGCGTCCCTTGTCTCGGTGCAAGCCTGGGACAGCGCACGGCTCTTCCTCTCCCCGCAGGCAGCCTGTGTGGTGACGGCACGGGGGCGTGCTACCTGCTCCCTGTCTTTGACACCGTGTTTGTCAGGAGGACTTACCGTCGCCAAGGCCTGGGCACGGCCATGCTGCAGGACTTCTGTGAGGCGTTCCGGGAGGATGAGGCTCTGGGCGTCAGTTGGCCGATTTCTCCTGCCATGTTCCAAGGTAAACCCGCTTTGTGTCAGGTAGAAGTGTTCGGGGACTGGTGATGGATAACACGTGCGTTCTAGGTGATTCTGGGGAGGGAGGTCCCTTGGCACTCTCGGCCTGTGGGTTTTCTCTACCTCCTGAGAAATCTCTCGTTGCTTCGGCACAGGTGAGACTTTATGCTGTAGCATGAGGGGCGAGCCTTTCCCAGCCCGAGAACTGGATTTGGAAACAGTAAAAAACACAGCATCAGGGAGAAGCAGAATCCAGAGGCGTGCACCTGCTGGGCGCTGAGTGCCTTTGCGGTTTCACTGGATGCTTCGAGCCCGTGACTTTGTCCTTTCAGCTCCTGGAGCCCAGGAGCCTGGGCTGGGAAGGCACCTGAAGTGCAAAGGCAAGCTCTGACTGCACTGAGCCCCCAAGTACCTCTGTGGCTCCTGCTTCAGAAGACAGTCCCCCTCTTCTGTTCTGATCCCACTGAGTCCCTGTATTGGTCAGGGTTCTCCGGAAAAACAGAGCCAATGGTGTGTGTGTGTGTGTGTGTGTGTGTGTGTGTGTGTGTGTGTGTGTGTATGGAGAGAGGGAGAGAGAGATTTATTATAAGGAATTGGCTCACATGGTGTGGAGACTGAGACTCCCAAGATCTGCAGTTAGCAAGCTGGAGACGCAAGAGAGCTGATGGTAGCCTAACGGTCCAAACTCCACTAGGCTCCAGACCCAAGAAAAGCCAACAAGATGTTTTTGGGTCAAACCCAAAGGCAGCTCAACAGACAGGCAGGAGGAGTTCCCTGTTATATGTGGGAGGGTCAGCCTTTTTCCTCTAGAGTCAAGCCTTCAACTGATTGGATGAGGCCCACCCACATGAGGGAAGGCAATCTGCTTTATTCGTCTACTGATTCACATGTTAATCTCATCCCAAACACTTTCACAGACACACACCCAGATTAATGTTTGACCAAATATCTGGGCACCCCTGGCTCAGTCAAGTTGACACTTAAAATGAGCGATCACAAACCCTTTCCCCATTCTGGAAGAGAAATCCTTATATATGTATTTTTTTCAGAGGAAATAAAACAAGCTCTGGTGTTAAACATCACATTCCAAGTCAGTAAGAGGGGTAGATTCTGGTGAGCATGCCCCCAGGTTCCCCGCCACCCCCACCATGAAGTACACCCATTCCACACTGGGTTCTGTTTCACTTCTTTTTTTTTTTTTTTTAATTTTTTAAATGTTTTATTTATTTGTGTGTGTGTGTGTGAGAGAGAGAGAGAGAGAAAGTGAGAGAGAGAGAGAGAGAGAGACAGCGTGAGCAGGGGAGGGTCAGAGAGAGAGGGAGACAGAATCCAAAACAGGCTCCAGGCTCTGAGCTGTCAGCACAGAGCCCGACGCGGGGTTCGAACCCATGAACCGTGAGATCATGACCTGAGCCGAAGTCGGGCTCTCAACTGACTGAGCCACCCAGGCGCCCCTGTTTCACTTCTTTTAAAAAAATTTTTTAAAAAATGTTTTATTTATTTTTGAGAAAGAGAGAGAGAGGTACCATGAGCAGGGAAGGGTCAGAGAGAGAGGGAGTTACAGAATCTGTAACAGGCTCCAGGCTCTGAGCTAGCTGTCAGCACAGAGCCGGACACGGGGCTCTAGCCCATAAACCGTGAGATCATGACCTGAGCCGAAGTCGGATGCTTAATCGACTGAGCCACGCAGGCACCCCTGTTTCACTCTTGTCAAACAGATGTTTTTGGACACTTAGTACTGAGTTTCCAGTGCTGTTATGGTTTGGGGAGAACAAGAGATAAGAGAGAAAATGTAGGAAAGGTAAGGAAACTTCTGTTGCTCTGAAGTCCTAAGAAAAGCAGGTGAAAACATATTTTCAAGTAGGTTTAGTCATTTCTTTGTATTTCCAAACTCATGGTCTATAATTAAACTCTGAAGATCCTTGAATGTCTGCAAAGAGCATTCCAGGATTCCTGTACTGTGTTGCTCACTTTGTGGTGTTGCAAAGTTCCAGAACCTAGGCAGCTGGCTTTCTGTCCACATGCTTGTCCTCTCTGTCTCTCTCCTTATTTTTGTTTCAGCTCTGAGACCTTTGTTTGAGTGCATTGGCCTCTCTGTGTGGCCACCTCAGGTTTCCCTAGGGGACTATCAGGCTCCACGGAGGGGGAAGGGCACCCCAGAGCCAGCACTGCAGATAGCCTTGCAGGGTCTTGTGGTTTCCCGCTCGCCCTTTTCTCTTCTCTTCTCTTCTCTTCTCTTCTCTTCTCTTCTCTTCTCTTCTCTTCTCTTCTCTTCTCTTCCTTTCCTTTCCTTTTCTAGTTTATTTATTTTTGAGGGAGAGACAGAGAGCGAGCAGGGGAGGGGCAGAGAGAGAGTGTCAGGGAGACACGAAATCCAAAGCAGGCTCCAGGCTCTGAGCTGTCAGCACAGAGCCCGACGTGAGGTTTGAACTCACGAACCCCGAGATCATGACCTCAGCTGAGGTCTGACACTTAATCGCCAGCCACCCAGGTGCCCCAAGACCGGCTTTTATTGAGTATAGTTCTGCCCTTTGAGTACAGGAAGGACTCCTGCCCAGGAGCCCATGCTTTATAGCCCTCTTGCAGCAGCATTTCTCTCCATGGTGTGAGGAATCTGTGGGCCCAAGAGTACAGTGCTTCCTGGATCCAGACCACTCCTTCTAAATTGGCTCAGGGTACCAGGACCCCTGGATTCCTGCCAGGGGTGTGAGAGCCTGCACGGACTCCATCCCTGGATCTGTGTACATAAGGGTTGACCACCACCAGTCTGCATATCTTTGGGGGACAAGCGTTGGTGGGATGTGGATGGAGTGTGGGCGTGGTATTCACATTTGCATGCACAGGCCCCTTGCAGTGTATGTGTGTGGGGCTAGGGTAGGAGAAATTGGTGGGCTGGCTGCCGGGGGCCAGCTCCCTCGGTATTGCCACATTCTGGTGCAAAACTCCAAGGAGTCCAAGAATTCTAAATTTGAAACTGGCTTTCCCTGTTGTTATGAAGTTATATTTATCAAGATAGGAGAGCAGAACATTCTATCTAGCACTCTGCTAGCTTGGCTTATACTTTCCAAATACTTGGTGTCACCCTCTGGAGTTTTCCATCTGGGCTGGGAAATATTAGCGGAGGGCCCGATGGGGTCCCCACGGACCTGGAGCAGCTGTCCATTTGGCTGGATTTGGGACACTGCTCCGTGAAAACTCTCACCTTGTGAACGTGTACATAGAAGTCTATAAGCCTTGAGGTGACTCTGGAATCAAGGCAACTGCAGAGGCTGAGCTGGAAGGTTCTGTGGGAGAGGAGGGCTGGGAAGGCCCAGGGTGAGGAGGGACAGTGCCCCAGGAGAGGGCAGTGTGGGGGGATGTTAAGGGTCGAATTGGGTCCCCCGAAGTCTTACGTTGAAAGCTTCCCCTCCATGTGACTATATGTGGAGGGGGTGCCTTCAAAAAAGCAATTAAAATTTAATGAGGTCCTATCAGTGGGGCCCTGTTAAGAGGAGGAGCCTGGGACACGGATGGGTGCAGAGGAAAGACCGCCATGTGCAAGCCTCCGCCCACACCTGACCGTGGGACTGCCCGCCCCCAGCACGTGAGACACGGAAAGTCTGTTGTTGGAGCCCTCGCGTGCGGGGTTTTGTCATGGTGGCCCCGGCTAAGATGGGTTGGACGAAAGCGGGCGCACCGAGGGTGGCGGCAGGCGAGGAGGTCAAACAGCGGTGCGCCTGGAGTGGGATCAGAGCCAGAGCCGCGGTGGGGCGGGGCCTTGACAGGAACCGGAAGTGCCCTGCCCTGAGGCGCAGAAGGGGGCGGGCCTTCCTGGCTCACAGTCGTGCGCTGGTATCTTAAGTGTGCAGAAAGTTCCTGTTGGCCCATCCGGAGGAGCGGGGTCGCCTGTGGGAGGTGGAGCCCCCGGGAGCCTGGGGCCAGCGAAGCAGCATCTGGCTGAAGGTTCAGCTGCAACAGTCAAGACTTCCAGACCGTGAGTCACAGTGACCAAAGTGCCCTTTGAAGCGCAGGTTAATGCATACAGTTGGAGTCAGGCTTGTGCAGGTGTTACGGTTATTGTTGCAAGAACAGAGGAGGGGGTGAGACCAAGGTGGTGGCTTCTTATTTATTTTTTTTAATGTTTGTTCATTTTGAGAGAGAGAGGGAGGGAGAGAATCCTAAGCAGGTCTGCGCCATCAGCTCAGAGCCCAGCGTGGGGCTTGCTCTCACAAATGGTGGGATCAGGACCTGAGCTGAAATCAAGAGTCAGATGTTCAACCTACTGAGCCACCCGGGCGCCTCCAGGGTCGTAGCTTCTTGGCCTTGGTCCACCTTCCTTTCCCGAATGAACTACATCTTCTGAACTTTGCTCAAGATCTCCCCCAATTTAACTAAATCAGAAGCTCCCTGGGACGGGGGCTCCCTGTTTCTAACTGGAAGGGGTCACTGAAACCCTGAAGAGGTTTAGTGTGTGCACCTGGTTTAAAAATTGGAAAGTCACGCAAGGGTTTACCTCGAAGAACAAGGCTTCCGTGCGCCCCTTCCTCCCCTTGGGGGAGATGGCATGCATATGTAAGTAGTAGCATTGCCTAGACAGCGTTCTGCAAATGAGCACTTTGTCCCTGTCCTTTTGATTGGCAGCATAGTGAGCTGCTGTATGGAGATGTTTATTTGGTCAGTCCCTGTTACAGACGGACACTGTCTTCAGTTTGGGGTTGTTATAGCACCACCGTGAGTTTGCCGGTGGGTTTTTTTTTTTTTTAATATTTTTTTAATGTTTTATTTATTTCTAGCAGAGAGAGAGAGAGAGGGGGAGAGAGAAAGACAGCGTGAGCAGGGGAGGGTCAGAGAGAGAGGGAGTCACTGACTCCGAAACAGGCTCCAGGCTCTGAGCTGGCAGTCAGCACAGAGCTCGACGCGGGGCTCGAACCCACGAACCGCGAGATCATGACCTAAGCGAAAGTCGGACGCTTAACCGACTAAGCCACCCAGGTGCCCCGATGGAGGGTGTTTTTGAGCAATGAGGACAGGCAGAGGGTGCCAAGGGGAGATGGGGTGGGAAGACAGACATACTTGTGTCTGGTTCTCCAAATTGCTTTTTGACAGTGCGCCTTCCTCTTCCATCTTCCTCCCACATCGGGGATGGATTGCACGTGGCTCTTGGTTCTCAGCTCAGGGTGAGGGCCTGGGGGGCAGGGCTGGATACCCGCACACCCTTTCAGGCTGCGGGTGCTGTGTGTGAGTGGGAGGCTCTGGAGTCTCTAACAGTTTAAGTTTCACCCGCCAAAAGTGAAAGCACTGGCTTTCCCTCCCCTGCCCCCCGGGAGGAAAGCTCCTGTCAATATCAAATGCCATTTCTCAAGCTGTAGGTAGCTCATTAGGCATCAGTGGGCTTTCTCTCCACATGGGTAACTGATTTACCTTAGGTCGTGACAGGGAAGAGCGTCTTGGAGTTTATTGATGATAACAGTGATAAGTTTTGCTTTTATGGTGCCTTTCAGCTAGAAGTCTTAATGGATCTTTACAGATATTAATGGGGTGACCAGGCACCTGGGAAGGAGGCCATGGCAAGGCTGTGACTGTGATCCTAATGAGGCGATTAAGTGACTTGCCCTGTGGCATCCACAGTTAGAAATGAAGGGGGAGCTTGCCTGCATCCCCACGCACTAAGCTGACCAGCTGCTTGGGTTTTTCAAGGAGCTTCACAAATGAGCCTGCAGCTCCCACGTGGACTTGGCCTTTGTGTCTTGGACGTTGCAGCTCCTTGGCTGAAAATGGGGGAAAAAAAAAAAAAAAGAGGGGTGGCGTTGCATATCAGAATATGGAAATAATGTGGAAGTCGCACAGGCTAGAGGGGGGTACTCATGGGGAGGACGTTTTCGCATAATTGGGGAGACTGCCTTCCTCAGAGGAGAATTCCACTGGGGGTTATTTCAAGAGCTGAGAGTTGGTGTGGTCTAGCCATAGGAAACTGAGCTGGAAGTCAGATGCCAGACCTGTCACTTTAACTCACTGTGAGATTTGCCAACTCCCTCTTTAAAACAGCAAATGAGGGAACTTTCTCAGAGAATGTTCCAGAAGCATGCTTTGAGTCCTTTGAAGGAAGAAGGGTCATCATTATGATTAGGATATAATTAGATTACTGAAACTGTATAATTAAAAAAAATTCTAAATTACAATTTTTTTCACTCCCTGTGTAAATCATGGCTCATTCCCAGTTTCACCCACAACTTCTGTCTCTCCACCCCCCCGTCCCCCCCCCCCCCCCCCCCCCCCCCCCCCCCCCCAGAGCCAGCAGTCAGGATTTTAATTCAGTCAGGAAGGTTTTCAGCCAGCCAGCTTCATCTTGTAACAATTTTGTCAGCCTTGACATTTCAGGTTTTTTCCAGGTTGGTGAGTGGGGGGCTGCAAATGCAATCACAGATTAGCCCAGATGCTCTGCATTTTCTCAGTTTACAGTCTGTCTGCCTTCATGGAAAGCTGTGGTCGTCCATTAGGTTTTCCCACAGGTCACCCCCACAGTGCAGGTTCTGGAATCTTCTTTTGCCTGGAAATGTCACATAGCCATTTAATTTAATTTTAGTTTTTAACCAGCCCGTTATTCTTAGACTTGCTTTCTTGAATTGTTCTGCTTTTCAAGTTCTATCTTTTGTTCCTTTATTTCTGGCTGTTATTGTGGAGGGCTCCTAGGGTTTCATGTGCTGTAGCAATAGAATTGTAAGCAAGAAGCCTGGGGGGAGCCGATTGCTTTTTACATTCTAAGTTAGGCATGGACATTTTACAACGTTCCAAAGGGAAATTAACTTGCGCTCCTTTCCAGGGTTTCAGAATCTATTTTTGAAGCAGCGTCATTTATGGACGAGGTCTTTTAAAGTTTGCACGATCTTGCCTGCTGATAACATCTGTGGCTTATAATGGCCCTGAAAATATTTACAGGGTTTTCAGAACTTTTGAGAGAAGGAGTTTGTGGGAATTTTTTTTTCTTCCTACACTCAGTTACATATGCAGCCTTTGAAACTTGACCAATAGGATCATAATTCTGTCTGGTGTGACTTCTCAGTTAGCTGCACACGCCTTAAGTTTCTTTACTGGAGGAGGTGAAATTGAATCCTCCAGCAGCAGTTGACTGTTCTTTTACAAAAATGTGGCTGGAGGCAGGAAATCATTGCACACAGCTTTAAAACCTATTGTTTTCATTGTTTAGGTTGTAGTGTTGCTTTCTTCCCAGGTGAATTTTTAATAGATTCAATTGTTATCCATAGGGAAAAGAATTGTATTTACATTTAATTTTTAAAGCTACAGTGTATGTACATAAAAAGATGGGAACTCTCTGAGCTCGGGATGGGGCAGGGTCCTTTTCCTAAAAATCTGATGCTTGTAGTTCTAAGCTTGTTTTGGTGAGTTGGACATTGTATAGTGCAGTAGTTACAGCAATTTGACGGCATGAGCTGTGGTGGGAAGTAAGCAGCACCATTGTACTCGATGGGGTTTTCCTAATGCTGCTCTTTGAAAGGTTGTGTGGCTCTCTCTAGTGGCCATTGTCATCTAGTGCGTCCTGTATGGTAGTAACTGGTGGATGGTAACTTACTTTGACCTACCCGTGTGGTTGCTTCTCAGATTCTTACCCTCGTGCTTCCAAATTAGAGCATTCATTTTTAAAAATTATTGAACTGTTATTGGTTAGGAATAAAATGCAAGTAAACATTTGATAGTTACTGGCACGCTTTAGTCTGTAACACAGAAAAGCAGTTTCACACATCAGGAAGCGTAGAATATACTGAATTGTCTACTTCATTCTCTGATTCATTCACTCATTCATTCATTCAGTCGATTACTCCTAGTGCTGGGCCATTGGTTGTGGTGATAAGGATATAGTACTGAATAAGGCTGACCGAGTTTCTGAACTCATTCATGAGCTTATTACGTTTTTGTGAAGAGAAGTACATGAGCAATGATTACTGCATTATGTAGAAACTCCCAAGGGAGCATTGAAGTATGCTGGTGTTTTTCAATGCTGAGGATTCATTTTGCCAAACCAAACTTGGCTAATTTATAAAGTCTGTAAATAAATTTTATTTTTATTTTTTAATTTTTTTAAAAAAATTTTTGAGAGAGAGAGAGAGAGACAGAGCACGAGCAGGGGAGAGGGAGACACAGACTCCAAAGCAGGCTTCCAGGCTCTGAGAGCTGTCAGCACAGAGCCTGATGCAGGACTTGAACCCACGAACTGTGAGGTCATGACCTGAGCCAAAGTTGGATGCTTAACTGGCTGAGCCACCCTGGTGGTTATTTACAGACACCCTGTAAATAAACCTTAAAATTTACCTATATAGGAAAGGATTAAATAATGTAGTTTTATTTGAAAAATGTGTTTCATTTGCATTTTCAGCTCAAATGGAAACCTGAGTAGTTTTTTCTTAAAGGATATGAACGTGCCCCCCACCCCCCCAGCACACACATATCTCCACATACAGATTTTGAGGTGTAGGGAAGTACATAGTGGGACAAGAAAGTCATCCTTCCCAGTTGGGTCCGATTTGGTAGGAGGGGGGCTGAATTAACCAGTGTGATTATGGGCTTTCTTGTAACAATTCCAGGTAGCAAAGAGAAGGGCCTGGGAATAACCATGCAAACCTGACTCCATTTAATGTCCAAATAATTGGAAGAAAAGAATTCCAGCTCAGTCTGTGGCTCTACCACCCTTGGCACTCCGGATCTCCTATGATCTTGGAAGCTAAGCAGGGTAGGGCGTGCTCAGTACCTGGATGGGAGAAATGCTTGAATAGAACCATCGCTTCATGTCTCCCAAACCCTGGCAGAGGTTTCCCTTTTCTCTGGAGGGCACGGTAGCAGGTGTCACAGTGAAGGTCATGAGGATGGAATTGGGTCGTGGTGATCCTTGCTGTACTGTTAATCTTTTGCTTGTCTGCGCCCTCGAGCCACCTCCATTGGCTCATGTCACTCTCTTGCTTGGGGAGGGCAGCACCCCAAGGAAATTCCCCGGAGGACGTGAGCAGTCATGGACGGACTTCTCCAGATGATGGACCCAGACAGTCTGGTCGTGAAGGAGGCAAGAAGGTACGGTGGTGAATGTGTCATTCTGGGAACATGTCTTGTTTTCTTTGCTTGTTGTCCTTGTTGAGCGAAGCTCTGAACCCGCGAGGCACCTCCCTCACCACTGTGGCTGTGGGCTTCTCCAGGCAGTGGGCTGTTGATTCGCACGCAGAGTCTCCGCGCTGTGGTATGAGAGGAGGCCTTCGTAATTAGAATCTTCATGGTCTTCACTGAGCTAGACAAGCTCTAACGAAGCCAGAACTAAACAGAGAGCACATGGCAATGAGTGTAACCTTGCTCTGTGAAGGGAACGTTGGAAAATCTGCATTTCGCATTCTGCCATGTACCAGCATCTTTCAAGCAGATCAAATGTGTGGACAAATTTCTTTCTTTCCTCCTCCATCCCTCAAAGCCCAGATGTTGTAAGATGGAACACGGCACTAGATTGTCGTAGAGCCCAGAGTGATGAGAGACTAGAACCGTGGACAAGGATGGTGGCTAAGTATGTCTTAGTGGCCCACTGTCTGTTTGGAAGCGGTGTGATTCCATTAGGCATTTTCCTGAATCCAAGACAGGCATTTGCCCGTCCAAGATCATTCTGATAACACTCATTCTCGGCCACAGAAGGGTGTTTGCTCTTGAATTCCTGAAGAATTATTAATGATTTTAAACTCCCAAGCTTACACTTGCAACGTGGGCAGCACTGCTTATTTTGGAAAGTAGATGATACGGAGATAGAAGACTGCACCTCAAAGGCGTGATCTATCCCCGTGAGCACCGGAGCATTTTAGAAAAGCAAGAGGAGGAAGGGCTTTCATTTTCCTTGGTTTGCAATGGAAAAGGGGGCTCAGTTACTGACACTATTGTGCTTTGCATCTTTGCAGATCCCTGACTTTGCTTTTAAACCTCAAAGCCTTCGGAGGAAGCAGGGGGTGCTCAGTGTGACGTCACGCCCATGGGCGTGTGTCTTGGGAAGGCCACATGCTCAAGCATAAGGAGCCCCCCTTTTAAAGTAGCGCTTCCTTGCTTTGTCCTGTCACAGATCTCCATGGGCTGGGCTCTTCTGTTCCCATCAGGAAGTATGTTCCCGCCAGTAAACAGGTGTCCAGAGCATCTTAAGAACAAAATGCAGTGTCCGCGAGGTTGGAACCGGGCTCAGCCGGTGTGAATCGGAGCCAGCAGTGAGTGGAGGGGCTTCCTGCAGGCGTCGGAAAGCTTCGCTGATTTTGTTTTTTCTGATTCAGGGAAGGACCCACGGAGAACGGGAGCAGACGAAGAGCGATGAAGAGCGCAGAGGGCACGAAGCAGCCGCAGGGCAGCTTGGGTGAGCCTGCGGGGCCGAGGCTGCCGGGAAGGGAGCCAAGAGGACCCTGTTGGGTGCGGGGCCGGACTGGGAGTCCCAGAGGAAGCACGTGCGGCCCAGCTTCTAGCTCCCAGACGCCATCCTGACTCTTGTCGAGGCCTGTCTGGGCCCCAGGGGGGCTCGGGTATGAGAGCTGCCCCTGTCTGTCCGCGCTCCTGTGGCCAGCGCTGGCCTCTGTCCCTGCTGTGTTCTCCTTCGAGGAGAGAGCGACCGCACGGACCTTGACCCCCTCAGGCTTGTTTTGTGGGCTCAGGTGGTAAGTGCTGCCTTCCTCAAGCACGAAGATCTAAGGGACACAGGCAGTTACTCCCCCAAGCCGGGATTCTTGAAGCCTGCTTGTTTACCCTGTGTGGCTCCCGTCACTCAGGGTGAGTTTGTAAAGACCACGCCAGCACCGCACACGTGTGCCCCTCGCTTGAAGCTCAGGGAAGGGCTGTGCCTGTTCCCGTGTGCACAGCCCAAATCTGACTCAGGTTTGCCCATGCCAGCTCGGATGTCACTGTGAGAGCACGGACGCCAGAAGGGTTTCTAGGGAGGCACATTTCTTTCGCAGAGAAGCTTCAGCCCTGTCGGCAGCTTCCTGAGGGCAGTGGCCGGGACTGCCTGGTGCAGATGGTCCATGGGTCCTTCGCTTACGTCCGGCCTGGCACACGGGAGGCGCTCGGAGCGGGCTCCAGGCGGGTGCCAGGACCTCAGTCATGGCCTGCTTCAGAGGCAAAGCCACTGGAGGGGACTCGGGGCTGCTGGCCCTTCCAGTATATTGGTGCTGTGAGGAGAGGCCCATACTGGTGGAGGTGACAGCCAGCCCCCAGTGTGACATTGGCCTCCTCAGCTGCCTACACCGCCCTGCTTGGGCCGTGCGCTCGGCCGCTCTTGGGGCTTCGGAGCCGAACTGAGGACCCTGCCTGGAAGAGCCCAGTGAGGACAGGAGACGCAGGCCTTCTGCCGGGTAAGGCGCGGTCCCAGCTGCTCCCTGAGGCCCCAGAGACTGCTCCAGGAGAGCTGCGGTGGGGGCTTCTCTGCAGTTGGCCTGGGCTCACCGCTGTTCAGTGGCATCAGTTCAGGTTCTAACTGGAGGACGCGGGCTGGGTGGCGTTGGGGCAGGCAGCGAAGCCCCGGCTCCTGCTTCTGGGTGCATGCAGAGCCGATCTTCTCCAACAGGACACCGCTCTGTGGCTCTCCTTGGAGCATCCAGGCCTGTCACAGAGGGCCCTGCTGACTCTGCTTCCATCTCTGTGCACACCTGCCTTGCTTTCTGTGTCCCCCTGCCTGGGCTTTCCCATCAGACACACCTGTGCCCTTGCTTCAAGGTCAGCACTCATGCACTTGCTCTGCTGTGGGCATGTGCCTTCTCCTTCCTCCCTTTGTCCTTCTGTCTTTCTCTCTGTCCTTTCTCTCTCTCTGTCTGTCATTCTCCCTCCCCCCGTGTGTGTGTGTGTGTGAGTGTGTGTGTGTGTGTGTGTGTGTGTGTGTGTGTTCTCCCCTCCCCCACCAATCAGTCTGATTCCTTCTCACAAATCTAGTCTCAGATACCCCTTCCTGACCACCTCCTCCTTCCCTTCCTACCTGGCCTCAAAACACCAGGCACTCCGCTGTGACCCCCATGAGTCACCACCAGGGTCAGCCCTGGGGCTGCTCAGTTGCTGCTTGTGTCCCCAGCACCAGTGTAGAGCTGGTCCTCTGAACTGTGTGGGGAATGAACGGTAACATCACCTCAAGGGTGAGGGGTGACACCTTCCTTCTGCTCCTCTGTTGCTAGACTCTGGAGATGGATAGAAGAACAGTTTCAGCTTTTTAGGGGCATAGTAAAGCCCTACCGTAGATCCTGGGAGGAGGCCACCAGCACCAGATCCTCACTGCCGGTTCCCTGAGTGGACAGAGGACACATGTGCTGGGACCTCTGTTGATTATTTATTCATCCATCTCTGTGTTCATCCACCCACCTGTCCATCTACCCATCCACCTGTCTGTTAGGCCATCTATCTATTTACCTACCCCCTTGTCTCCATCCATCAGTCCACATCTGTCCATCCATCCACTCAACTGTCAATCTGTCCACATCTGACCATCCACTCATCTGACCATCTGTTCTTCCATTCATTTATCCATCCATCCACCTGTCTGTCCATCTGTCCTTCTGACATCCATCCATCCATGTCCATCTTTCCAACTGTCTGTCTGCCTACATCTATTCATTTGTGTATCACTCTACTTACCTGTCCGTCCGTCCGTCCATCCATCCATTCATCCATCCATCCATCCTGTTGTACAACAGATATTCAGGGGGTACATGTGTGGTTCAGTCAGTTCAAGTCTTGATTTCAGCTCAGATCATAATCTTGCTCTTCATGAGATCGAGCCCCGCATCAGGCTCTGTTGCAGACAGTGCAGAGCCTGCTTGGGATTCTCTCCCTCCCTCCCTCTCTGCCCCTCCCCACATGCATGCATGCATGCATGCATGCTTGCTCTCTCTCAAAATAAATACACTTTAAAAGCCCCAAATATTTAACATTCTTGCTCAGGGTCAAGCTCTGGTGGGCACTGGGGGTATATAGATAAGTGAAATGTGATTCCTGGACTCAAGGAAACTGTTCTCTCTGGAAGGGTCTCTTCTAGAGTGTTCCCTGGAGTTGTCTTATAGCCATTAGAAAGAGGGAAGAGTCCAGTGGAGAGAAATCAAGTGCAGAGCTCCATACAGAGACTGGGTGAAGTCCCCCAGTGCATGTGGGCTCTGGATGAAGACCATAAAAGTGGGCTCTGTGGTGGAATGGACAGCCAAGGGCGTGCTTTCTGGGTGATGGCAGATGGGTGCTGGGAACTTGACACTGTTTGGGATGAATGGCTGGTGCTTTGTGTTTACATGAAGACAAACTGACGAAAATGTCTCAGGGGTTTGATGAAGTTACTGTTCAATAAAAGCATCCTCTCAAGGGAGAAGAACTGATGTGTTGGTGTAGTTCATTTAAAGATCTAAAAAACAAACAACCCTGTAGAGTTAGAAGGAAACACACAGGGGTTCCAAGCAACCCTCTCTCTGGCCAGTGACATGGTTGAGTTAGGTCTGGGGCTGTGTGCAGGGTTTCCTTCCACATAGCTTGTATAGGAATGTCCGTACGTGTGTGTGTGCGCGCGCGCGCATGTGTGTGCTGTGTTGTTTTTGTTAGAAACCATAAGATTAATTTCATTTGAAGTATATAATTCCTTTTTTTTTAGTAATTTTGCAGAGTTGTGCAATCAGTGCTCAGTGAGTACCCCTGAAAGAAACTGCACCTATTAGCAGTCTCTCCCTTTCCACCCTCCCTCAGCCTTAGGCAACCGCAAGTCTACTTTCTCTCTCTATAGATTTGCCTGTTCCGGACGTTTCCTGTTCTAGACGTGTCCTACAGGTGGAATTATACTACCTGTGGTCCTTTCCATCTGGCTTCTTTCCCTTGACATAACGTTTTTAAGGTTCATTCACAGTGTAGCATGTGTCTGTTCTTCATTCCTTTTTATAGCTGAATAATATTCCATTGTATGGATATACCACATTTTATTTATTCATTTACCAATGAATGCACCTTTAGATTGATTTCTTGGCTTTTATCAATAAGGCTGCTGTGACCTCATTCATGGCACAGTCTTTACATGGACGTATTATTCAGTTCTCTTGGGTATATACCCAGGAGTGGAGTGTCTGGGTCAGACGGTGACTCTATGTTTAAAATTTTGAGCCATTGCCAAACTATATTTCAAAGGGATTCCACCATTTTCCATCCCCCCCAGCAGTGTCTGAGGGTTCCAGTCTCTCCGCATCCCAGCCAGCACTTATTTCTATTCCTCTTTTTGATTACAGCCACCTTCCTAGTGCTTGAGAACCAGCAAGTATCTCACTGTGGTCTTCATGCGCATCTCCCTGATGACGAATGATGTGGAGCACCTTTCCATGGGTTTCCTGGCTCTTTGTATGTCTTCTCTGGAGAAAAGTCTACTCAGATCCCTTACGTGGCTCTTCACTGGGCTGCCTTTTTATTATTGAGTTGTAGCAGTTCTTTATATATTCTGGGTACGAGTCTCTTATCACGTATATCATTTGCAGGTATTTTCTCCTATTCTGTGGCTTGTCTGCTTTCATGGTAGTGTCATTGGAGCCACAGCATTTTGAATTTTGATGACGTGCAGTGAATCCACTTTTCTTTGATTGGTTGTGTATTTGGTGGAGTAGTAATGATTGTGTCTTATAAACGCACTCCGTCTACAGGGAGTTATTGGGGAGAAAGTGATTTGACTCTACAATGAAGATAGAAAAGCCCACAAAGGAATCGTTACTTAGAAGAAAGCCATCCCTGGACCCTGTGGACACAGGCTCAGGCCCTGTGAGAACATTTCCCTGCAGGCTGCTCCAACCCCGACTGACCATATGATCCAGAAACTCCGCTTCTGGGCACATAACCAGGAGAACTGAAGATGTACGGCCACATAAAAGCTTGTACACAAATGTTCAAAGCACCATTATCGATGATTGCTCCAAACTGAGTTCATTCCCAAAGCTCATAAGTTGGTAAATAGATCAACAAAATGTGGTAAATCCATACAATGGAATATTATTTAGCTGTTAAAAGGAATGAAGTACTTGTACATGCTACACTGTGGATAAACCTTAAACACATTATTTTGGGGCACTTGGGTGGTTAAGCGTCCAACTCTTGGTTTTGGCTCAGGTCAAGATCTCATGGTTCATGGGTTTGAGCCCTGCATCAAGGCACCCACTTCATTGCCCGTCACTCAAGTCACCCACTTCATTGCCTCTGACTCAGGACACCCACTTCATTGCTCCCAACTCAAGGCATCCACTCCCCAATGGGCAGCTCATAGCTGTTGCACAAGATGGACACTGAGCAGAATGCTCCTTTGGTCCTAGGGTGCTCAGCCTCTGAATTCCATGGGATTGGAGAGCATGTCTTTGGGTGGATGGTGGTACAGTCTTCTGGAAGAATTGCAGGAATGAATTGCAGGAATAGGTTTGCTTGGTTATTATTCCCTCTTGGCTCTACACTTGCTTGATTTGGGGAATGTTTGCTGGATTCTCAGGTTCCCAACTGAAGCAGGTAAAAACCACATCATTTGGTTTTTATAAAGTAATTTAGAAAATTTGTATAAATTGAATTTGATAAGCTTTATAAGGAATATCCTTTTTATTTTTTATTATTTTAGAGAGTGTGAGCAGGGGAGAGGGGCAGAGGGGGAGAGAGAGAATCTCAAGCAGGCTCCATGCTCAGCGCAGAGCCTGGTGCGGAGCTCCATCCCAGGACCCCGGGATCATGACCCGAGTCGAAATCAAGAGTCAAATGCCTAAGGGACTCAAGCACCCAGGTGCCCCATATGGAACATACTTACACATAACACTGTAGGCAGAATGCTGGCCTTTTCCGGCCTCCCTCCATGAGCATTCATTTCTGGGGCTTCCAGGGCAGGGGCCTTGGTGAGGAGGGCATGTCACCTCCTGGCTTGGGGCTGCGCGGCCCACACTGGCAGTAGCTCACGCGTACAGGTGTCCTGTAGGGGCGTCTGCTCGGGCATCCCCCGTGGGGGCATCACGGGCCACCCTGGCAGCCTTCCACGCCTGCCTCTTGCCACGCAGCCCCACTGGCATCTGCGGACGCTCCCACCTGGCCCCACGGGAGGTGATGCCACAGCCAGCGGATGTCCCTGCAACCTGTCTTGCTGTTTCTGGCCACGTGGGAAGTCGCTTGCTCTCCACAGGGGCCACTGTGGCTTTGATATGGGGCAGGCCCTGGCACCCCCACCCCCATGAAACTCCCATGGGCTGGGGCTCAGGTGGCTCTTGGGTCCTTCCCTGGGAACTGCACGCTGGGATAGGGCATACCCCCTTTCCACTCCGGAGCCCCCAGATCTGTCTGCGAGTTCCCGTCATCCCCTCCCGCCCTGGTCCTGCCCAAACGAACCTGGCTTTTCCGACCTCAAGGCCAGTCAGCCGGTCATTTCTTTTCCACGTCTTTCACGATGCCCCATGTCCTCACACACCACACTCTGGGCGTGTACTGTCAGTGCCTGGCAGGGTCACAGCCCCCGCGCTGTTGCACGTCACATCCCTCAGGCAGGCCAGGCTCTGTGGCTGATTCACACAGTCTTGGAGCCTCCAGGGGGACGTGGGCTGCTGACAGCAAGGGACCACCATTTCTCTCACACAGGCCTGACGCACAGCTTGAAACCCCACCGTCAGAAATGTTTGCCTCTGGGCCGCCTGGGGGGCTCAGTGGTTGAGCGTCTGACTTCGGCTCAGGTCATGATCTCACGGTTCGTGGGTTTGAGCCCCGCATCGGGCTCTGTGCTGACAGCTCAGAGCCTAGAGCCTGCTTCAGATTCTGTATCTCCCTTTCTCTCTGACCCTCCCCTGCTCATGCTGTCTCTCTCTCTCTCA